TACATGTAGACGTAAAACTTGCATATAATGACTTGTCATTTTATTACAAACAATTTAAAAAAATAATAAGTAAATTAAAAAAATTATTGTTTGTAGTAATAATCGCATGCTTGTAAATATTTTCATGTTTAAAATGTCTGCTAATTTTTTTTATTATTTTACTTATTTATAATACAAAATATTTCACATAGAAAATATTAACATGAAGTTTACCAGCTTACGCAAGATTAATAGAAATATAGCAAAATTTAAAAATGTATAATAACGGTATACTGGATAAATACGCGCTTTTATTTTAAGTTTGCAACTGATATACAGTATATACCATTTATAGTTTAAAATATTTGTTTCGTTATATTTTTTATGTTTCTTTAACCAAAATGTTCTTGATCTTAAATTAAATTTAAAAACTATTGAAGAAAATTTTTGTTTTGACTACATAAAATTTGTATAAATAATAATGTCATTTGTACTGGTATAATATAATTCTACTATCAATTTATATGGAAGTCCACCAATAAACAAAAAACAATATTATGTATGTAAAAACGAACAAAATATGATTAAAATGAATGTATATTATATATATATGTATACATATATACATACATGTATTTTGTGCACTTATATTTTGTTTTTTTCAGATACTTGTACATTTGTTTTCATATTTAAAATAAAAATATAGTTTTATTGGAATATTTTCATTTGAATAAATAGCAGAGATTTAGTTTAAGTTTAAACTTTAATGGAGACGGCGCGAAAATAATAATTTTGAATTTAAAAATATTGAATTAAATACATTTTTTATTGAGTTATTGAAATAGTTTGGATTAAATCGAAATAATACATGTATAACAAATCAAAGTGAAATTGTATATTATAAAAATATAATTGTTTAAAAATATAACAACTTTAAAAAAGTGTTATAACAATCATATACTTTCCATTATTTTAACTTCGGGATAATTAAAATTATTTTATACACAATAATTTTTTTTTATTTTACTGTTACATTGTAGGTAAACAATTTTTAAATATTATTTCTTTTTTTGTGGAAATATTTTTTGAATTTTTATTCGATTTTAATTATATGAATTATGAGTACATATTATATAAAAATTCGATATACATTATGTACATATATTTGAATAATTCTATCATTTTGCAAATTTTTTATTTAAAAACAAAGACTTTGTTTATTTAAAATTAAAAAAGGGTTTTGTGTATAAATAAAATTTTAAAAATTCAAAGTTTTTTGGAATGCAGAATAATAAAATCCAAATGCAGTTACAATAAAATAAAATCCCTAAATAAAGGCAGCTGTTCAATCAGATCGAGCAGCTTCAACAATTTTTCTAAAAATAAAACAATAAATTAAAAATTAGCACTTACCTTTTTTTTATAATATTAAAGAAGAAATTTCGAATAATATATCGATAAAAAAGAATATGAAAAAAAATTTATAATATCTGCAGTTTTAAAAAAAACTAACATTAAATCCGAAATAAAATAATTTGTAGTGAAAACTCAGTATTTAGATTTACGTTGAAATCACAAATAAACCTTCATCACCCAAATTTTAATAGAAAATTTTTTAAGACAAAGAACTGCCAAACACGACTTAGACATCTATAGATAATGTGTATTGTATGATATAAATTCAATATTTATTGGAAAAGCATTTTATTTCACATATCATTTTAGTTGGCATATTTCCAAAATTTTTGAAAAAATGGGATTAATAGTTTTGCCCTGTCTTTCGGTTCATTTACAAAACTTCTATAGTCCAAACCGCCAAACCAAAATAAATTTCAAATTCTGTAAATACTAAATAAATTTATAAATGATAAATTTAACCGTTATCTCAAATCTAATTTTCAAAACAATATTTCTCTTTGATGGCAACTCTGGCGAGTCTGAAGTTATCGATAAATATTTTATTTTACTAGATCTAAATCTCGTTTCTTCTCCTGAGTTATTATCCTACAAATTATGAACTATCAACCCCTATTTCTACAAGTCAATGCTTTCAATCGAGCTTCTAAAAAACGAGAATATAATACTAACACTATTGTCGTCCGCTTATACCCAGAAGTTTTGATGTTATATCTAAATTAATATAATTCAATTTTTATTCAATCTGGTTAAATTTTTATGCAAATATAATTTTTTTTCAAGTTAATATTTATTAATTTTTTAAAGCCTCTTCTGAGCTTGTATACACAATTAACATGGTAATATTAAAATTAAATAAAGGGATACAAATCAGTATGGTTTAATCGATTATATACATAATATATTTTTATGGTTTCTCTATGTGAATTAAGATTAATAAAAGAGTGATAACAACAATAATTAATTCTATTTAACTTACTAAACAAAAGTTCCTTCTAATTCAAATCAATATATGTGTGTATATAGTTATGAGTATTCATTTACGATATTAGAAAGGGTTCAAAACTTTTCAATCACAGAAAAATCTTTTTCTAAACTTTACAATTTTTCTTAATTAAATTATTCTTGAGGTTCATAAAAAAGTATAGACCTGTTAAATGTAATTCAAAGCTGTTTTAACTGTTTTTTAACCATCAAAATTAAGTTTATATTAAGGTAAACCGTGAAAGCACAAAACAACACAATTTTCAAAAGCTGCAATCTTAAACATGTATTCAAATTCTTACGTTAACCATACCTTTGTCGCATGAATGCTGTTTTTAAATCAAAATTATTGCAAATATCAGGATTCACAAATCCATTATAAAAAAATTTGACAAACATCTGATAATCTTAATATATAGTTTCTTTTAGAATTTGATAATTTTTTTTTGGAAATTTTTAATAATATATGTATATATGCAACTACAAGTGCAACTATACACAAATATTACTTTAATTCAATATGAAAACACAATAATCCAATTAAATTTACAAATTATTAATGACATACTTTTTACATATGGAATTGAACACAACTTTAATTTATTACATAGTTTTTGTACAATATGTATTCGATATCTGCTTATATTTTTAAAAGGGTAACTAATTAAAGTTATTGACAACGTTAGAAAATGCTAGAATTTTCAATAATTTATATTTAGTTTATATGTATAAACTAGGTACTTACATATATACACGTATACGTACATAACAAAATATGGAATTATTTTAAAAAAAAGTATGAATTCAATAAAACACTATTATTATTTTAACTAAAATTGCACAAAACTTTCTTAAAAATCATAATATTATAAGATTTAATAATAAAAAATTAAATAATAAAAAAAATTTTTAAATGAAAGTGACCTAATTTTCAATTCGCATAATATAATAAACCAAAAATAAAAAAAAAAATAATAATGAAAATGAAAATACAAAATAAATCGCATAACAAATTAACAATTACAAAAATAAATTAATTCTTGACACTTTTTATAAGTCAACTGCTATACAAAAATCTTCGAGAATCATTTTCTTATTTCTTATAATATTATTACAAATAACTAAAGCTTTGATTTGGCTATACCTATACTTAAGAGGAGCTGAATTATAATAAAATAAATGTTATAAATAATCTCTACCCTCTACATATTTTGTATGGTTTGTAAATATATATGTTTTTAAATTTAGGAAAAAAGAAAAATTTTAATAGTGACCTAGAAAGTGTCATGATCAGCTTTTTTTTTTTATTATGGTTTCTTTTCTTTTATAAATGCTCAATATGTTCACACATATAGGTGTAAGTGAGTATACTAACTGTATGTTATTGAGATTTGAATAGTTTCTGAGACTCGAATGAACAAAGTTTACTAATGTTAGGTATATACTTTACTTTTTGAATTATATTGTACATACATATTATAGTATTTCCGGGATTTTTGACTTTTCGTTATAAATAATTTTATTTGCAAAAATTTTCGGTTGTCCTAAAAAAAATGGTTAAAAAATTTCTTTTCCATTTGTATGAAAGATATTATATATTTACACATATATATACGTTGTACACATATTATAATAAAGGTAAATTGAAGTGACCAATTTTTTTCGTTATTTTCTTTTTTTTTTTTTAAATAAATCATGATAAACCTTCCAATCTTATATGATTGTTGAAAATATGATTTGAATCAAAGAATTTAGTACATTGATGACATTCGTGATATTCGTATAAAAACTGGAACAATAAATTCGTAATGATTTTTTATATTTTAATTCAATTCAAAAGAAATTTTGCAAGATATACTCAATGTATTTGTTATAATTAATTTGATAAGTTTTGTTGTTGAAAATTACTAATCATGTTATTAATTAATAATTTTAATTTGAATTAATTAAATTAAGAACAATAATGTGTGAAAACATAAGAAAAAAATGTTTTCATATTATTAATTTGTTGTCTTCTTCATCTTATAAGATTAGATAAGATTAAAAAATTATAAAAATTATTTCAAAAATTCATTATGAAAATTATAAATAACTAAATCAAAGTGTATAGAAAAGTTAATAAAATTGAAATTGATTGAAAGTTGTTGTTAAAAATTTCACGTTAAATACCTGGAATAAAAGTTTAACTGTCATTTGTTTTCGTAATTGCATAATATTGGTGAACAAAATTTTAATTTATTTGCTATTAAATTTACCTTATATGAATAATAATTTTATTTTTAATTTTCATATAAAACAATTCATTGAAAATTTAATATTTTCTATATTTAATTTTGCTTTACTACTTATAAACAATTCATGGTCAAACAAAACAAGTAAAAAAAAAACAAAAACAAAAGAAATCTTGATAACAGTTTTTACGTTATTAAATTAAAATAGTTGACACACATTTACAGTTTTTATTTATAAGTTATTTAGGACAAATTTTTTTTACAATAACATTAAAATAATTATTATTTATTTCAAAATATTTGTAAAATTTTAACTTAATTGTAATATTACATTAATTAATTATTATACACAATATTTGTAGTTCAAGCATAGTGTATACCCTAATTTTTATAAGTGCCATCTTTTTATTATTAAAATTGCTAAATCAAGCTAATTTCGTATATTTACTTATACATATTTTATAAACACCTTATATTGTACTAATGAGAAAATTATTAAAAACATACAATGAAACAAAACATAAATATAGTGGAAGTCGAAGCTTCAGATCTAAAACTAATTCCATTAGAAGAAAAATGCTCCACAATAACTGGAAGTAAATCATCAAAGAAAGGAATCTTTAATCAGGTATGTATAATATATATGTATGTCAACAAAACAGAATTTAATACCTCTATAATTTAAAATTTAAATATGTATGTACTTTAAAAAAATTTTCTTTTACAAAACAAAGCAAATTTTTTTTACGTAAATTAGTTATTTAAGTCAGTTTCATTTAGAACCCTTTCTTTCTCATTAAAATTAAAATTTTTTTGAACATTTTACTGGATAAGTAAGTAGTGCACCAATTTTTGAGTATATAAAAAATTAAAATAAAACAATAGGCCCTTTAATTGAACTAAAAAAATAAAAATTCTATTTAAATTTCAAAAAATAAGTTTTTTCGATTAAGCATTCTTTGTTAGAAAAAAATATTATAATATATAAAATTTCAATATGAATACAAAAAAAAAAACAATATATTGTGAATTGATCTACACAATTTTTAATCAAGTTGCCAATTCACATTTTTAAGTAGCGTATTCCGGACTGATTTTATCATTCTCGAACATTTGTTTTCTGATTGCAAGTTCTATCCGGCCCTTTCTGAAAATATTTTAATCATTCTCATATCTAAACTATTATACCATATACGAAAATTTTTTTTCAAAATTTTATTTTCTTTCACACCTACACATTGTACCTATTTCCTGAAATTGTTATATCATTTTTTTACAACAAAACTAAATAAGAATGAAATAATTCAGGATATTTAAAAAAAAAATTATCCTACACTATTTATATAATATGTAAATAGGTATTTTCAGTTTCGCATTCTCATATTTGTATTTTAATGAGAGAAAAATGGTTCAATTGTTACGAGTATACATGAAACAAGAGTTGTGGTGCTCTCCGAGACATTTTCAACAACACAGAGCTATTTGGAGGTCGGAAAATGCCAAATGTCAAAATTTTTTTCTCTATTTTATCTAAGGCAGTATGGAATAGTTCATAAAATGAAATAATACGATTCAAAGTTTCAATATACAAAAGTTTTTAGGAAAAATTAATCAAGAGATTTCTAAATAGTTTTCAAAAATATAACGACCACAACAATTTTTAATATTCTTTAAAACTTCAAAATTTTAAATGACATTCTGTTTATAAATTTGTTTTCGTGTCATGTACAATATGTGCATATCTAAAATAATGCATATATTTTAACATAAATACTAAATAATTTAAATCAAAACATAAACTAATTATGTAAATAAATTATAAATAACAGATGAATAAATTCACCTGTGGCAAATCAAACTAAAACAACCTTTAAAAAGTTTAAATATTTTTATGGTAACATTCGAAACATTGATAAATCACAAACATAATATATTGTATGTGTTTAGGTATATATGTACGTAGGTATATCTATTTCTTCCTTCTATTTAATCGTGTTTGAAAAATTACGGTTATAACAAATTTAAATTAGCGTTTAAGTACACGAAAAGAAAATTTGCAATTATGTAATCTCTTCTCTCTTTAATCATTTAACATTCCTTTACATTTGTCATAAATGTGTTAATAAATAATTATACATACATACGTAGGTAAATAAATAAAAATATAAAAATATTAATAATTTTTATTCTAGATTCTAGTAACAGGAGTTATGCTAATATATGCCGCAGCGTGTGGAATGCCAATTGGATACTCTGCAATATTATTACCCCAATTATACAACACAACGGGAGAATTAGCGATTGATATTGAAATGGGCTCATGGATTGGTATGAAAAATGAGTAATTGTTTTTTTTCCAATATATGATATGGTTCTAATTTTAGCAAGCATTCATAGTTTAGCAACACCAATTGGTTCTTTTACATCAGGTCCATTATCAGATCGTTTTGGACGGAAAACTATTCTTTTATTTAATACCATACCTTTACTATGCGGTTGGATTTCAATGGCAATGGCTCAATCGCATATAATGCTTCTTGGCGGTAGGTTATTAGCTGGATTCGCAGTAGGAGTTGCAGGACCGCCGGCTCAAGTAATCAGTTTTTGCTTTTTCTCTATATTTTAACATTTTAGTATAACATTATAGTACAAATAAAAATACATATATGTATGTGTAATATAAAAAAATAAAACAATGAAAAAAAAAATTTTAGATATTGCTCGCAGAGATAGCAGATCAAAATATACGCGGAGCAATTATTGGTGCACCATTCGTTTCATATTCTATTGGGATTTTGTTGATCTATACCTTAGGGTTATTTTTAAATTGGAGAACTGCAGCATGGTATGCGACAATATTGCCAATATTAACAGGAATAACAATCCTTTTTATACCAGAAAGCCCAACATGGTTGATACGAAATGGTAAATCGGAAAAAGCGAAGAAAACATTAAGTTGGATACGAATGGATCCTTTTGCAGCAGAGCAAGATTTCTCCAACTTAGTAAAAAGATTTGAATCAGAAAAAAAAAATTTATTAAAGGAGAACGATGCTATGTCAACCAACTTCCTCAACACGCTGTGTAAACGTGAAGTAGTAATACCATTTTTAATAATAAATATTTTCAATTTTTTGATAATATTTTCGGGGACATACTTAATAATATTTTACGCAATTGATATTTTCATTGATATTGGTGGTAATATATCAACTATGCAAGCGGCTATTATAACAGCATTAGTTCGTATTCTTTGCACATTTATTTTTTGCTTTTTATTGTTCGTTTTAAAGCGTAAAACTATAATTATCAGTTCTGGAATTGGATCTGGAATCAGCTCACTATTGTTAAGTGTTTTCACATTAGATAAATTTTGGAATTCAAGTTCTCAAGCATATAGTACATATATTTTAGCAGCTTGTATTGTCGTTTATATAGCATTCAACACCAGTTTTATGGTTATGCCCGGTATTATGATTGGGGAGTTATTGCCGTCAAAAGTAAGAGGTCAGATAGCTGGCTATATTTTTGCTTTAGCACATATTTCAACATTTTTAGTAGCAAAACTTTTTCCGAGAATTAAACAGTCTGTTAAAATCAATGGATTATTTTTAATTTTCGGAATCGCAAGTTTTTTACTTGCTTTGGTAATGTTTCTAATTTTGCCTGAAGCAAAAGGTAAAACACTTGAAGAAATTGAAGATGAATTTAAGTTTTTTAAATTTATTTGGTCGAAAGAAAATAAGAAAAATAAAGCCAATGAAGAAAGTCAAAATCTTAGTAAAGAATGAACATTGAATAATTATATAATATTACTTGTATATTAATAATATTATTTATGTATTTTTAAGTTTTTAAACACTTATAACTGCCTTATATTTATTATAATTTTATGTACTATTTATTTAAAATGTATTATATTCTTTACAAAAAATATACATATTTACATACAGTAGAAAAGATAAAACCTCAGTACTCAATTCATATTTTGACTACCGCATAAATAAAAAAATAACCGCCATATTTTTTACCGTAAGGTACTGTTCACATGTACGACAAAATCTACGATTTATTGTAAAAACAGAACCGAAGTGGTAAACGACAAAGGCGGGCGATTTTCGTTGTTTAATATAAACATATACACAATTAATATCAAGGGCCTGATCGTCTATTTACTTTTAAAAAATTTGATGAGAATAGAGTAATTTTTATTATTTGCCGTTAGGCAATGTTTGATGTTATCTTACGTTTTGTCTTTTACATAAACAATACCTTACAACATAAATTGTCGTCGATTGCTAATATCGGTGCTGACTGCAATTTGACTCCATTTGCTGCCACTTTTACATTACAAAAATGTTATAGATATTGTTATAGACCTTCCATTGAAAAAACCTTATGAATTTGGTTACATTAACTTGTTTGTATATTTAATCATTTTGAAACACTCACTATAAATTATGAAGATTATGAAAATGCACTGAACACTGCCTTTCGATTTTAAGAAGTCAGCAAGCTTTCAGCTAACATACATAGAAAAGTGTAAATTTGGCTCTTAGTAGAATTTCACTTTGTGTCACCAAATTCTCTGAAGAGTTCACCAGCTAGTTTTGATAACTCCCGAATCTTTTCAAAAAAGTTTAAGATTCATTGTTTTAACACCCCAAATTTAAATATAAAATTTTAAGTTGATTATTTCTCTTTATATACGCAAAAATGTAAAATTGGCCCGCAAAAAAGTCCAGTTCTCGAAGTCTGATGTGCAAAATTTGTTGCCATCACATGATCTCCGTTATTGTTTGCAATGTGGTCGGTCGGTAAAAATAAATAAGGAATAATATCTAGATGTTCCTTGCAAATGCAAAAGTTATCAGAGACAGAAAATTCAAAAACATACATATATTATTAGAAAGATAAATAAAAAGAAGAGAACCAACAGAATAAAAAACTGAATGAGCTATGAGAATTTTATTAAACACTGATTTCTTATTGAATTTGCCCGCAAAAACTATGTTTTTAATTTATTGTCTCTCCATTTGTAGTATTATATACTCAAGTTTTGAAAGAGCAATAGTGAAATGTAACATTATTAATTCCAATGCGCATTTGACTTCTATTACATACATATAAGTATGATATTGCATATATTGATTTCTCCGGTGATATAATAAATTAATGTCTTTATATCTAACAAGTCCCAATGCTCAGAGAGAAACTTGAAAGCACACCTTATTTTATATGGCCTTTTTTAAATCGAAGTGGCTATTTTTTGAGAAGAAATATTAAAATAAATTCACACTTATTATAAAGCAGGTAAAATTTAGAACATATATTTGAAAAATCAAAAAAGTATATTAATATTTTCATTAATAATTATTTTAAAATTTAAAAAAAAGCGGAAAAACAACAAACACAACCTCCGCCTTCAACGTTTTATTTGTTACTGAAAGCATTTCATTATTTTTAAGTGAACAGCTTTTTTTTCTCATAGGGTAAGTTAACGCAAGATATGGGAAGTACCTGTGGTGTCAAGTTGAAAATATAATTAATGAAAGATAATTCTTAAATATTGATATAAATACATAGTAAAGAAAAAATTTGAAGAGGGAATTAGAAAATAATATCTAAAATACAATCAAATATTATTTGTTAAATACAAATTTTATATAAACTTCAAAATTTTACCTCTATTTTTATTTGAAAAAATATTAAAAACTTACTATCATTTATATCAATTACCTAAGAAAAAAAAATGTTTAAAATGTTTGGAAAAAACAATCATATATTTTTATGACCGGATTTGAATATTTTTCTATTTTTGAAATAAATGGTATTTTCCCAAATGACTCGAAAATTCCGACTGTAAAATAACAGGTATTTTAAAATTTTTGTTCAGGTATTTTAAAATTCTTTCCGTTTAGAATTAAGATAGGTCATACATACACATGCAGGGACATTTTATAAATAGATTGCTCTTGTTTACCTGCTAATAAAATATGAAAAAAGAGCACAGCAACATTTTTGAAGCACTCAATATAACATGTTTGAAATAGTTTTAAAATAATTATTTAAAAAAAAATTTATTGGAAGTAGGTACATACATATTTACTTTTAATAATTTAAAAACTAACTGAAATTATTTGAAACAATTTTATAAGTAACGTATGAATAACCGAAATGAGATAATTCAAATTGTTGAAATGTGTCAACCTATATTAATTTTACTAAAATTTTTGTTAGCCGACACTACTCAACTTACCTTATTGGGAAATACAAAATGTGCATAAAAAATCATACATCCTTCCTCATTAACATTTGAAACTATACTGAAATATGAATTTGAAATTTTTTTTCATTTTTTCTTTCCTCCTACCTTTCTTTCTTTTTCGTGCAATAGAATTTAAATGGGAAGCTTTTTAAAAAATGTGTATAATATCCTGAGATTTTTTAAAATATTAATCTCTTTTTTACGTAAAAAAAAAGAAAAAAATAATAAAAAATATGACACGATCAGTGGCATTTAAAGAAAAAACCAACAACGAGGCCAAAAATTCGTAACATTTCGTAAAAAAAAATGAGTATTGGGACTTGTTAGATATAAAGACATTAAATAAATCTTATTTTACCCAGCATTTACACATACAAGTTACTTGCATGCAAGTTTGTATAATATTAATTGTCAATTAGTTTTTCGAAATGTCAAATTACTTGCTATTATGACGTAGGCGTTTAGCAAGTTAATTTTTGAAAATGTCTTTGAGAAGAAAACAACTAGCAATATATATAATTGTTTATAAATTTTAGAAACCATAAGTTTGCTAAGTTTAATTTTTTCAAAACAAAATTCAAAAATTTTAAATTAAAAAAAAAAAAAATCAAAACAACAAATTTTTTTTTGTGAATTTCTTAATATGTCAAATTACTTGCTCAAATTACTGGCAGCAAAATTTTCTTGCAAGTTGAACTGCAAGTAAACAAGCAAGTAGAAATATTTCAATGTGTTAGTAAAATTTTTGTATGTATTGCAACTTTCTTGCAAGTAACTTGTACGTGTAAATGCTGGGTAAAAATATAAGCAGTAACGTGACATTACAAAAAATCTCAGTCATGAGCAACTCTGTTCACAAAATCGATTGTCAGTAAAGATTTTTATGTATGCATGTGTATTTTTAAATTTTGTTTAAATTAGTTGACGTTTTTTCTGATATTTTGACGTTTTATTAGAAATATCAATGAAGCAGATTAAATAATATAGAATATTTGACATTATATTAAACCCTAAGAAAAAAATTGAAAATATCCAGCAATATCTCTGTTTTATAAAATCGACGAAAGAATTTACTACAGCGATTTCTCAAAAGCAATAATCACTAATTTCTATAATTAATTTTAGAAAATAATTACTTTTGAAAAATGAACTAAGAATTTTTTACTTCAACTAACCTAAGAAAAGATATCCATCTGTTTTATTAAAATCGATTTACGTACGTTGTTTGATATCTTTAGTTTTTTGAACTTCAATTTTTTTCGTTTTCACTATCAACAATTTTTTGAAAAAAAGCATATTTATAATTTCTTCTTCCCGTTACTCTTTATATCTTTCGGTAATAGTATCTTCTCAAGGGCGTGTTCAGATGATCGAACATTGAGTGGAAGTCCGTGTTTACTGTTGCTTCAAGACAAAAATGTTATTAACGTGAGAAAAACACTATTAACATTTTCTTTATAGGCTGATTAAAAAAAATTAAATGTGATGTTTCTGTTCTACAAATAAGAGAACAAAGATAAGTGTTGTCAAAAAAACGTCATTTGCTATACCGAAATACAATAATTCTTAAAACGTAATTTTAATGTAATTTTAATAAATATTGTAAATAGTATATATGTATAACTTTTACTCTTTCTTTATAGTTCATTATTGTCAAATGAATTAAATTGTTTTTGATTTAGTAAAATAAGTTTTAGTATAATCGAAAAGTATGAAGATAAATGCAGATTTATAATTAAAACCAAGGTGTTTGTAACTAACATTAGATTTTGTCTTAATTTAAATCCGTGGAGGATCCGATGTATCTTCGAAGCCTGGCATGAGATTAAATCTGATCAAAAATAAAGAAAACTTTCCTATTATCATCAGATTTTATATCAAATTTTAAAAAACAATAAAGCGCAAACTAAAGTTTTTAAAAAAATTTTTGTTGATTAAAAATATTTAAAACATTTCTATCAAAAGTTTGACATAAAGGTATAGAATGAATGTGATGTGTGGTACATACGAAATTTAATCTGAGTTGTTATAAAAATAATAAGTAATAAACACTCTTGGACGTCTGATTTTTTAGAGGTAAAATGGAGAATCGTGTAATTACCGTACCATATACGATAAAATCTGCGATATACCAAATATTCAGTCTGACCTGTATAAACAATACCGTATATTCAGTCTGGTTTGTAAAGGAACATAAAGTAAAAATATTTGGGAGCTGTGTTGATAGAGATGTCACTATTATCGCTAATGAGGCAATGCTGTTCATATACTTGACAACGAAACGTCATTATCGAAAGTTTGAGAAGGTATAGTTTTAGTGAAGTGAAGTGGAGGGAGAGTGGATTGGCAATAAAATAATTTATTACAGAAGAGCCTTGGATTTTTTTTATTATAATTTAAAAACTTTTTGTATAATATATTTGCATTTAAATTAAATATAAATTTAAAGGTAAATAAAAACATATATTAAATAAACATTACCGATTATAAAATTATAAAAAAATGGACTAATAGTGGTTTCGATTAGTACGGGAATTATTTTTCTTTGAAAATATTAAAGAAGGGGAAAGCGTATACTATAAAGTTTCTTTGATTTTCATTTTTGACGTAACGAGAGAATGAGAAAATTTTGTTTGGCTAATCCAACAAATTTATATTTTCATTTACTATAATATATTATAATATTATTGCAAAGATAATATCAAAAAAGAAATGGCCATATGAACATATGCTATTTGAAGTCGAATATTGTAGGTGGTCAAAGGTAATACATTTTTAGAGAAAGAAAAATTCTGTCTTCTAAGCAGTTAGGCTTGTTTCTGTCAGGTGTAAGTAAAATTAAACTGAATTCTTCTATTGGTTGATTGGTTTGGTTCATTACAATTGTGTTGTTGTGAGAAATTGAACATAAAACAAACGAAAAAGGAAAACTTTAAAAAATCTAAACAAAAAACGTATTGTATTACAAAAATATACATGTAGGTATAAAAGTTGTTCAGGTACATTAATGCGGATATCGTTTTATTGCTAAGTATGGAGGTTTGTTAGACAAATGCATTACATACGTACATATGTTTGATTAAACAAAAAATTGAAAACGTATCTAAAATAGATTTACTTGAAATGATTCAAGTTTTTGCTAAAATAATTAAATTAGTGAAATTCTTTAATTCATTGGTGACTCATTTTCTTAGGTGCGTTTGATTTTAAAAACTAAAAATGCAATTATATACATACATTTCAAAGCAGTATTAAGTTAATACATAGTAGGGATTTACCTATGTACCTATCTCCACATTTCATAATTTCTGGTACACACAACTTTTTCAATTGCCCAAATGCGCACTTAGAACAAATTATGCATTAGGATGAATATTGAATATAGACATCCCTAAATTTGTATGAAAGAATGCGTAAATATAAATGTTTTTACTTTTATACCTATACAGTTGGAAATATTGCCTTTATTACATTAGAAAATTTCCTAGAATTAAATGGTAGCAGAATAAGGTTAATTAGACAGGAGGCAAGCAAAATACTTATACTTACCGTGGTTTTTGCAATACGTTTATTTTGTCGTCTTCAAACAGAACAAAAAGCTATTTACTTATGTTCAGTTTGAAGTCTAAATTAGTATTCGCAATATTTGTATTGTGAAAATTCGATCAGAGAAATGTGGATAAATTTTTTCAGTTGTAGATAAAAAAAAAAATCTATTTATAGGTATTTACCTATTTTGAATTAGAATGGGGGTACGGTAAGTATATGGAATGGAGTCTCGAAACAATGCATTGTCATTACATATGTACATTTGTTATAACTTATTAAAGATTAAGCACATAGGTACCTATCTATATATATTTATGTTTATGACTTTAAATACTAAATTTTTAAATTTGTTTCAGGGTTCATTTTAATCTGCGGTATAAACAAAAAAAAACATCTTAAATTGAGTGATTTTGTTTTTAGTTCAGTTATAGTTTTATTTTTAAATCATTAAATATACATAAAATTCAAGCATAAACTCAATATGACAGATTATAGCGATTTAGATCGCCAAATTGAACAACTTAAAAGATGTGAAATCATTAAAGAAAATGAAGTCAAAGCACTATGCGCAAAGGCTCGAGAAATTCTTGTTGAAGAAGGAAACGTTCAACGTGTTGACTCCCCAGTCACCGTGTGTGGTGATATACACGGTCAATTTTATGATCTCAAAGAATTATTTAAAGTTGGAGGGGATGTCCCGGAAACAAATTATTTATTTATGGGGGATTTTGTGGATAGAGGTTATTACAGCGTGGAAACGTTTCTTCTTCTGCTAGCTCTCAAGGTAAATAGATACATGTTTCAAATATAGGATAGTTTGTTACACATGATAATATTTTACTTCTATAAATTTTCATATTTAGGTTCGTTATCCAGATCGAATCACATTGATACGAGGTAATCATGAATCTCGTCAAATAACTCAAGTATATGGTTTTTATGATGAATGCTTGCGTAAATATGGTTCAACGGCTGTATGGCGTTATTGTACAGAAATTTTCGATTACTTGAGTTTGTCAGCAATAATTGATGGAAAAATATTTTGTGTTCATGGTGGTTTGAGCCCATCAATACAATATTTAGATCAAATACGTTCAATTGATCGAAAACAGGAAGTACCACACGACGGACCAATGTGTGATTTATTATGGAGCGATCCAGAAGATCAAATGGGATGGGGTGTTTCACCACGTGGTGCCGGTTACTTATTTGGTTCAGATGTTGTTACTTTATTTAACAATACAAACGACATCGATATGATTTGTCGAGCTCATCAATTGGTAATGGAAGGTTTTAAATGGCATTTTGCTGAAACAGTACTAACAGTGTGGTCGGCGCCTAATTATTGTTATAGGTACGTAAATATAATCAAATTATATAACTGATTATGGGAGTAATCTTTATTTTCATTCATGGTTTACTTTCACAATTAACTATTATAATATAATAATAAAATGAAATAAATTTGATGTGAAATAAATACATTTTTTTGTGCTTTTAGATGTGGTAATGTGGCAGCAATTCTTGAATTAAACGAAAACCTTCAAAGAGATTTCACTATTTTTGAAGCTGCCCCACAAGAAAGTAGAGGAATACCTTCGAAAAAACCACAGGCTGATTATTTCCTATAAACTAATTTAAAAACTATAATTGCATAATTACATAATACTTTAATTTTTTTAATTTTTTGTTTTGTAATATTAACGATAACTTAATTTGTTTTGATAACCTATGTTTTACATTAGAATAACAAAACAAAAAGATTTTTTTATAAAAATTTAACGTTTAACAGATTTCAAACAATTGTAGTTCAGCAGTGAAAATCATATTAACGAGGTTTTTTTTAAATATGGTCATTTTAAATTATTGAAAGCGAAATATGTTGTCTAGGTTATGTTTATTTTCATAAATAAATTTTTATTTTTATATACTACTCATCATACATCTTTAAAAAAAATCATTAAATTAGCAAGTTTTTTTAAACCCAATTGCTTACTAATTAAAAGTTTCAACATGCATACGCTTTAAAGGGCGATATATAAGAAGATATAAAATAAAACGTTAATTAGCTGGCGACTGGGATTAATGAAAATGGCGCTAAGGGTTATCTACAATAATTTTATATTAAAAATAATTATACATGTATGTATTTAGATTTTAAATAATTTTACAAATATAAAAAAAATCATAATGTAAGATAAAACTGATAGTAAGTTAGTTTAATTAAAAAAAAGAAAACAAAAATTTATAATACAATAGTAGTAATAAGACAAAAAGAAAAAAATAAATTTATTCACTTTTTTGTAATCAAATGAATGAAATCAAGCTGAAATGAGGTATTTAAAAAAATAAATTTTGATGCAACATTTTTAAGTAATTTGATTTTCTTGAAAATCATTCTTTATTATAAAATATTACTAAGTTATTTTTATGTATATTTCAAGATAATTTTAATGTAATTGTATTTCAATAATATTTTGAAAAAACAAATATGCATTCAAGACGCAGTCCAGAAAAGGCGCTAGGAAAAGAATAACTTAATGTTGAGATAGCGCTGCCTAACAACTTTTTTATAAAAATTTGCACATACATAAATTTACAAAGGGAAATATCTTAATTAAAGAAAAATTAAGAAGTAAAATGGTTAAAAGCAATTTTAAAGAAAAATTCAAGTTGCTTTTTGAAAAACTGAAGATAGTAAGCAAAACATTAAGAGTATCTAAAATAAACTTTGTCTTATACATATATTTATAATAATGTTAGGTAATAGGAAAATAAAAAACATAAACAAATTTATTAAATAAAGATTACAATTGAAAACTGAAAACGTTTTTTCTATTTCTAAGTTTTACTGCAAATTAAGAAAAGTGAGAGTTTTGACTATAAGATAGATCCCTTAAGTTTAGTCAAATTTATGTTTTTCTGTACGACGTTGAGCTGACCAGTTAAAAGTATGTATATATGTACTGCATGTTTTGAGTTTATTTTTGATATTCCCAAAAATTTTAAATAGCAAAGTATGCAAAGTTTTTTACAAAATTTATATTTATTTAGAAAATCATTTACAAGTTTTTGTAATTCTATAGCTTTTCAATTATGTACATACATCTGTATATGAAAAACAAAATAAAAAAAAAATATGAAAAATTTTAAAAAAATTTATGAATTCTTTTGCGGGATTTTAACAATAACGCTTTTAACTTCAGTGTAATTCTGTAGCGCATATTCTCCATTTTCGCGACCGTGTCCAGACATTTTGTAGCCACCAAAAGGAGCTTGGGCTCCAAGAACATTATATGAATTAACCCATACGGTACCAGCTCTTAAACCTTGCACAATATAATTTGCTTTATCAAGGTCTTTAGTAAATACTGCAGCTGCCAATCCGTATTCTGTTGCATTGGCTCGTTCTATAACTTCATCTAATGACTTGAATCGTATCAATTGTTGTACAGGTCCAAAAATTTCTTCCCTTGCGATACGCATATTATCTTTAACGTCAGCAAAAACAGTTGGTTCCACAAAATAGCCGGGTAGCCCTTGATAACGAGAACCACCAGCAACCAGTTTAGCCCCATCTTTTTTGCCACTTTCAATTAAACTTAAAATTTTATTCATTTGTTCTTCATCCACTTGAGGACCTTGCTCTGTCGTCAATTCAAATGGATTACCAACAGTACGTTTTTTAGCGCGTTCTGCTGAGCGTTCAACAAATTCGTCGTAAATCTTTTCTTCAATAAATGTGCGTGAACCAGCACAACAACATTGTCCCATATTAAAAAATAAACCGAAATGTGATGTTTCGACAGCATAATTCATATCAGTGTCAGATAAAATAATATTCGGACTTTTACCACCCAATTCAAGTGTTACGCGCTTTAAATTGGTATCTCCTGATGCTTTCTGTATTAGTTTTCCAACTTCTGTTGAACCTGTAAATGCTACTTTGTCCACATCTTTATGTTGAGCTAATGCAGCCCCTGTAGACCCATCCCCAGGAAGAACATTAACAACTCCTTCTGGAAAACCGGCTTCTTTTATTAACTGAGCAATATATAATGCAGTAAGAGGAGTTTGCTCGGCTGGTTTTAGCACAATTGTGTTTCCAGTAGATAATGCAGGGCCCAGCTTCCAAGCCATCATTAAAACGGGAAAGTTCCATGGAATTATTTGAGCGCAAACTCCAACTGGTTCATGACGTGTGTAAACAAAAAAGTCACCATCCATTGGAATCGTTTTACCATGATTTTTATCAGCCCAACCGGCGAAATAACGTAGACATTTGATTGACATTGGCAAATCAACATTGTATGACATTGCGAAAGGCTTACCATTATCCAATGTTTCTAAACTCTACAAATAAAAAAGAAACTATTCTTTTTTTCATAATAACTATTAAGAACTAAATTAATTTACAGCGAGATAATTTTTGTCGCGTTCCATTAAATCTGCAAGACGATTTATTAAAACACCACGATCACTGGCATCCATCCTGCGCCATGGGGAGCCCAATCTAAAAATGTTAATTTTCTTAATATATGTACATAATTTCTTATTTTAACAATTTATTATATATTTACTTGAAAGCGCTTCTGGCTGCTTTGACAGCAACTTCAACATCAGCAGGGCCAGCTTGTTGAACGTGAGCAATAACTTCACTCGTTGTTGGATTTATAGTGGCAAAATTTTTACCCTCTCTACTCTTATGCCATTCATTGTCAATGAAAATCTAAAATATTTGTTTTTATTACGCTTTGCTTAACACAGAGATATTGCTTATTCCATTTTAAATAAAAATGTTTTTGTAGTAGTTCAAAAATGCACTACATAACAATTTTTATTTCTTTTCTAGATACATAGGTACCTATTTCACAAAAAAATTATTTCATTCCAAAATTTTATCACAATGACTAAGAATAACTATTCTAGGCACTTATTATTTCTATTCATGTTGAAAATCTCTTATTTGAATTTTGGAGCACAAATTTTATATATGTTGTAAATATAATTAGTATGTTTTTTAGTAGGTAGCTACAATGTTATTTAAAATTTTTTAAAAATTTGAACGAAAACTAAATGTTTATACTTAAGGAGGTAATAAATATCTAATCGTGGTTTTAATATCATATCGATTGTTAAAATAATAATTTTTACAGTACATTTTGATTGTAGCTTTTTGTTTTTTTTTATATAACTAAACAACTTTACTACAGCTATTTTTGATAAAAATGGATTCAAGGTTATCCGAAGTTGAAACAGTTCTTATATAAAACGTTATTTTGGTAGATTTTCAAAGTTGAACTTATAAAGTTATGCAATCAAATCAATTAAAAAATTATTTAAAATTTATAACTTACACCGGTATAAAGAACATCTGGAGAAGTTAAAGGTTGAGATTGCGTTGCATAGCTGGCTACTGCAAATTTGTGGTTTCTAATAGCACTTTTCAGTATTCTAAACATTGTAAGTATCTGAGACAAATGAAAATAATGGAAATGTTACTGTTCAAAATTTTTTAAATTAAAAAAAACTAAATCTCAACCTACCACGTATTTCTTGTTAACTTTCCGATAAGAAAGTGCAAATTAAATTTTATTCAGTAACCAATCTGCTTCTGCACTTTTTTCTCCCGACTCTTTCAATTTCACAATTGCTGATTTGCTGAATGCCGAACACAAACAAAACAAGTCACATACTTCAGCTATAAAAATAAAAAAAAAGTCAAATAAAACAAATGTCAAAAAATTTTATAAACAATTCATTTATAGTGTGCGTAATGCAATAGCAAGGCTGAGGAGAAGATTTGTCCTAACAAAAATAGTTCTAAGATTATGGAATATAATCTTTATATCTATATATTTAATATATAGATATATTTATTATATCTGTATATTTAACATATAGACATAAATAAACATATCTATATTTCTATATATAGATTATTTATAGAGTTGTTTATATTTAATATGGAACTTTAAATTAAAGACTTCCGCTTTAGAAAAATTTCATCATCGCTAGATGTTTGATAAGATTGTCTTCATTTAACTTGTCAAAACTCCTCTTTCAGTAAATTCTTACAACTTTCTGCTGAATTTCATTCAGTAAATGCTTACAACTTATTTATGAATTTAGCGTAAGGAATATTTCCAATGTGCACGTAGGCATTTTAAACACGCAATAATCACGTATTATGAATAGCAATACAATAGCCATATTACTTGAATATGCTACATATTCAAGTAATATGCTATAAATAATAGGTCTGGTCTGTCTGGTATAAAAAAGTTTTTAAAAACTTTATAAGTTTTTGCATGTAAAGCGCCTGGGATAATACTTTTGAGCAAAAATTAACGAAAAAGATGACGTCATCATTTTCTTAATGCTTAAGGGTTTTTCAAGTTTTGTAAAGAAAAATTTAGTGTTTTTAAAACTTTTAAAATCATACAGCTGTCAAAACATATGGTGTTCTTGCTTATGTCAGAAGGCTTTATTTCTGCAAAAAAAATTTTCTTCATCAGTGATTATTATTTCAAAACTTTTCAATTAAACATAAAATAAAATAAACAAAATGGATTCTCAAATGGGTTTTTCTAAGTTTGACACTTTTATAATTCAAAATCAAAATTTTCGGTTTTTGGTATAACCAAATTTTTGGTTTATGTTTGATAAATACTTTGAAATTTGACGTTTATAACTTATGTATTTATAAAATTAAAAGTTTTTTCAAGTTTTCCGTGTGGCTTAAAACCTAAGTTGTTGTGCCTCTTTTTAAAGTTTTTTTATGTTTTATCCCAGGCAGACCTAATAGTCGTATGCCACATTATAGCAGTCTTAAAGCTGGTGGAAATTTCAAATTAAAAAATGTCAGTTTTGTGAAGTGGCATTGTGTTGTTAATTTTGAAAATTAGGTTTGTCTGATATAGAACTTTAAAAACTTTGGAAAGAGAAAAGAGTGATATCTCTAATCGTAAAGAAAAACAAAGTCTTGAAAACAATAACTCATTTGAAACCAGACGGAAAAGTTGAAAAAACTTTTAAAAGCTTTATAAAATAGGCAACAAACGTCAAATTGTAAAGTATTTAGCAAGCAAAAACAATACATAAATAAAGAAGAGCATATGTTTCGTCAGCTTTATGATTTTAAAATTTTTTAAAAGACTAATATGTTTTTTTTTCTTAATTTACAAAACTTGAAAAAACCTGAAACAGTGAGAAAGTGCTGACGACATTATTTTCTCTCATCTGTTCTCAAAATTAGACGCTTTGCATACCCAAATTTTATAAAGTTTTTTCTGGTTTTTAAAAACCTTATACCAGACAGAGCCATTATGATGTTAAGAAAAAACAGTTTTTGAACCTGATTTTATTTTATAAAATGAAAAAATTTTTATTGAAAAATCATGTTTTTGAATTTAATCATTTTCAAACACGAAGAAAAAAACAAATAGCTAATATACGTTTTGGTATATTACAAAGCACATGTATGAGTTTGAATTTTGAAAACTTATGTATATTATGTAGTCTAGCTGTGTTCCACGGACCATGCATAATATTTTTTTCTATTTTGTCAATTTCATTTTTCTTGATGACTTTTGCATTTATTTTACTTAAATTAAATTTTTAAAAACTTTGCTCATAAAAATTATACTATTGATTATTTGTTTTTTAATTTTTCTTGACAAACAAAGAAAAAAAATTGCGCTTAGTTTATTTTTACATTATTTAATTTATTTCAATAAAAAATTTAAGTAATTCTTATAGGTCTGCAATACTTTCTTCTTAATACAATTCTTGACATGATTTATTTTATTTTTCCTAACAATGTAAAAAGAGAATAAGCTGATTTCAATACCGTCAAGAATGTAGCATAAGTTACTGGGACATAGCTGCCAGCTAAAATAACATTTTGTTTTTGAGATTTTTGTAAAAAAAATATGAAATCTTTTCGAAAGTCTTTCGATTGATCTATCCAATTACAGTTGATTATTGCCTTTTCAAGCTTTTCACTTTCTATTATCAAGTTATTTCCAAAATAGCATAGAACAAAAATTTCGGATGTAACTGCGAAAAAGAATACAATTGCTATCGCGATTCTTGTAAGATTATTTGCATATAAAATATAAACAGCAACTGTACATTGAACGACACCTGAAGAGATTAACTGAGAAACACATGTTATCGAAATTATATCTTGAATGGTTTGAGTTAAACTGCAAATATAAAAAAATAAAAGGAAAAATTTTAAATTTTCTCTGCAAATTCTATAATATTAAGAATATTCATATGATAATAAGCACATATACATATGTACATACATATACATATAATATCCTAGGATAGGTCTAATATAGAAAAACTTTTGTTTTTGATTTATAATAACAATACAAAGTGGGATTCTAACAAACAGGGTTAATAGTGACAGATCAATCAAACGGTATCTTCTGCTTCTGACTTGATTTTCTGAAAAGAATTAAACATTGTAGGTTACATTATGGATTTTTCCTAGCAAACCAAGAAAGCGGTAGTTGAGATTCCAATGCTAAACATACTATTCTTTTACAATTGATCAGCATTGTGCTAGGCTTTTTCAATATTTTCCATGTGCATCCCATGTTCATTTTTCTTGAAGTTTGTTCACTGAAAACGCATTTCACGGTAAAGTCCTTTTAGGACATTCATAAAAATCAACACATTTACCGAAAAAATGTCAACGTTTTTCTAGAAAACAAAGAAGTTCTTACGGTTTCTTAGGTACACATTTTTGGAAAAATTTTTTTTTTCAATGGTTGATAATTTTTCCGAAATATAATTTTTTTTTGGTGTGAAAAGAAAACTTCCTTTTATTCTGAATAAAATACTTTTTTTTTTATTTTTCGCTAAATATATTTCGTGCGCTACATACGCACTTTATCAAAGCTGATTTTCTTCTCTATAAGAAGAAAAATAAGAAAAAAAAATAAAAAAAAGTATTTTATTCCGAATAAAAGGAAGTTTTCTTTTCACACCAAAAAAAAAACACATTTTTGGATTATATTTTAAATTAAATAAATGAAATTACTATTTTAAATCCATTGTTATTTTTATACTCTCTTAAAAATGATAAACATTTTTACTTGGCTTGAGGTATCATACTGCAAGCCTACAACATCATGGCTTGTATAAATAATTCATTTTATGATTTGGGCAGAATCCACCCATAACAAACATTCGTGAAACAATAATTAGGGTAAGTGTTGGAGAGTTAACAAATTTTCGATTTTTTAATGATAAGCTTTGGCTGTTTTTGCACTATGTATGTTATATTGCACTATGTGAAAGATAGTAACTATGCTTTCAAACATACATATGTATGTTTTTTCCAATTTTTACCAATTCAATTTTTTCTTTTTTGATACTTTTTGCGCTTTGTAATTTATTTTATTTGAACTTCTGAAATTTCCTAACATGTTTACATTTAAATCTTTAAAAATGTGGAACCCCACCAAACGTTTGTGATGTGATTCATAATTGAATTTGGTTAGTAAATTGCTGCGTTTCATTCCAAAAAAAAGGTAAAAAAGAATTGAGAATAATTTAGTTGAGAAAGGGTTGAGAGTAGATAAGTTAACAATAATGGAAAGTATTGCCACCTCTTATTAAAGAGTGAAAATAAAGGGTTTTTTTAAAGCTTCGAAGCTAAACCAACGGCAGATGTACAAACCGATTGCAAACAAAACATCATTTTATACAAATCACATTGGCTTTAGAAAATATTGCTATATTTAAATCTTAGATAGAAGATCTTGACATAACATAGAAAAATAACGTTTATTATGCTGGAATAAAACATAGGTGAAACTGGAATAAAAATAGGCTGGAATAAAAAGCACCATATGATGCTACAACACCTATGTTTAAGTGCGACATATGAGTAAATAAGTGCAAATATGTATGCGTATGTGTGAATGGGTGCTGTACTTACTGCAATATTATTTTATGGTCTTGAATACATTCAATCAAAACTTTATGATTATGTTTCTTGGATTTGGTAGGGTCTGATCCAATTTTTTCTATTCTATAAGCTAAACTTTTAATATGTGCTAAAAATTTAAAAATTAAAAGTCAAATATAAATTAGAATAAGTTTTATCATAATAAATTACCTGAAAGAATAATTAAGCATGCCGGAGGATATGAATCACTCCCGGCATTTTGCCACGCTTGTACAATTAAACCAATCAACTGATATGTTGTGGCAATTGTAAAATTTTTAGATGATTTTTTCCAATCAAATGGGAACCACTCTGGAAACATTAAAACTCTTTCCCTTGTAAAACAAACCATCAAAAAACTTAACGTTATCCCAAAAATAAATGTTATGACAAATAATTGAAAATATTTATGTGATAATTTTAATGCATCTTTTAAAATTTTCAATTCGTATTTAGACTTTGATTTTTGATCCAAAATTTTCAAAATATTTGCAAAAGTCAAAAGTTTATTTCGCACAAGAAAAACATTAAGAAATTTAATACTTGCATTTATATCCGTTACCGTTATAGTTAAATTTTCACAAATTTCAAGTAATGTTCTTGTTTCTAACAGATTTATTGAAAAAGTAAGTGGAAAAAAAAATGTAATACAAAAATTTAATACAATAGCATATAAAATGAACAAATAACGTTTTGTTTTATTTGGACCCTTGAAAGTCTGTAAACCAACGCTTTTCCAAACCATCCAATGATTGTTTAAGATTTTTGATGAATCTAAAATGGATGTAGAATTTTTATTTGACTTCAAATTTAACATAATTTCTTTCAGATTAAATAATGTTCTATTGGTAACACTTTTATTTGTTGCGGTTTAATGTTAATGGGCCGTTTTTTAATATGCAACTAAATTTTTTTCTTTTTATTAGCTATATATATACTCGTGTATATATGAAGATATGTATATAAAAAATCAGATTTTGATTTCATAAATAAATAATATTAAAGTTGGAAATGTTTTCATAGAAGTAAATAAATAAAAACCCAAAGCTGTTTTTTAAAAAGAAACTTTATTTCAAATAATTACAATTTTTCATTCAGAAAGAACTATAATTGTGTTTCAAGTATAAAGTGCTTTCTTATGATTAAAATAAAAAATTTTGTTCAATACTTAAAACAAAATGAATACGATAGATCAAATTTATATCTACATTTTTGAGTTAAATAGTTTGAATTATTCTTACAAGTTTTGAATTCTGACTATAAATAAAGAGAGATATGAAAGCCTAGATATGAAGCAGCTTTCTTTTTTTCCTCAAATATCTCATTTTTTTCGTAAATCTGCAAAGGCGAGATAATAAATTCTAAATTTATCTTGCGAATTGGAGTGGAATCTGGATAAACATAAATGTTTTGTATATTATCTTGCCTAAGAAATGGAAGCTCTTACACCAACCATTTTTTATTGCTAATATGAATCTAAGAATGCTCTAATGTAAGACCTCAATTTTAATTCAATTATTTATGCCAAAACTGATTAAATATATATATTAATTCAAAATAAAAATGAATGCGTTTGTAGTTTATTTTGAAATATTTTGGTCATTCTATTATCCATAGAAAACGTGCCGAAAGAGTATAGAAAAATTATGCCATCAACCTAATACACATGATTTATTTTTTGGCAAACTGTTGAAAATTTTGGATGTAATTGAATTTATTTAAGCGAGGAATATCAACCAGATTTACTTGTTGTTGTTCCTCAGATTATATTGAGAAGCAAATCTTTTTCCAAAGCTTAAAAAGCGAACTTTAAAAGTTTTTACTTGAAAATTAGCTTAACGGCTCGTTTTTGCGTAACAAGAATACTATCAGGCCTACAAACATATGCGCCACCCCAACATAAAATTCGATATATCAATTTAGCATGAAATAAACCAAAGTGGAAATTTAAAGCACGAATAAACCTGGAATAAAGAACATTACTTTAATATTTAAACGAAGACACTATATAGACTTTAAAACAATTAGCGATACTAAGTTATTCAGTAAAATCTCATTGGATCTCAAAAATTCTCAACTTAATCTCTGTGTTGTACTCCTATAACATCTTTATTCATATATCCCGCTCCTTTAACATTTTTTACTCATTTCAAAGCAGAATTCTATAAAATTTTTTATTAGTCTTGTGATTTTTCCAATAAGATTATTATTTTTTCCAACTGGATTTTAATTTTCTAAAAAAAATTTCGTTTAAACTGAGCTAACTTTAAGAAATTGCAACGATATTTTAAACATATGATACAGTTTTGTTTTTCACTTGGCAAGTAAAAGTAAAGTAAGATCGTGATACACGATCATCCTAACAGGCGCCATCTAATGTGTTAAACAATCGTATATATGCATTAGTTATAGCTGCTTATTTGTATTTGTTTAAAAAATTGTCTGATAATTAAAACTAAAAAAATCAAAAAAGGATAGTGAAGTAAAAAATCTAGATATCAAATAATTACTTAAAGAAAACAATATTTGAGAATATTATCGGGTTAGATCATTTCGTATAATTTTCACTTTTAAAATTTCAGCCAAAACTTATGCAATATGAAAAAAGTTATTGAATTGCATTGCATTCACAATTGCTTTGAATAAAAGCACAGAACAAGTTTTTTCGAAATATTTACAAAATTTTCAGTTTTTCATTTTTATTGAACGGAAAAAGGAGAAATCGCAAAGTTAAAATTGTGCATAAGAAATTGGGGTATTCACACTGTAAAACAAAATTTATACAATATCTAGTATAATTCTAGATAAAAAATTATTAAAAACTTTTAATTTTACAAAAATATTTATTATACATTTTGTATTTGATAAAAACTATTTAAATTTATAAACAGAAAGTAGCATATAATTTTATAAAAATTATAATAGTCATGAAAGTTTGCTAATTCTTTACTTTTTTCTTATAAATAAAAAATACATCTATGTACATATTATTATTTTGTCATAAGTTTTCCTATTCTGCAATTGGGGTGGGACTGGGTATATAAAAAAAAACTTTTTCAATTACTGTTTGTCCGTATATGATTTATATTGATTATTAAAATATTCAGTATTGCGTTATTTATGTTAGGTATATAAATTATTTTTTAGTGTACTGTTCGACAGTGTTTTTTATGGCAAATTTATGACAAATAAAATCAGTCTTTTTCTTTTTTCACTAAATTAATAATATTGATAGACGATCTTCATGATGTCTGAGCTTTTGTAAGAGCTGCTAATTGTGCTTTTAAGGCGTCTAGTTGACATAATAATTCAATATTTTGGCGCTCTAGATATGCTGCTCTAATAGCGATTTCATCCTCTTTAATACGTCTTCGATCACGCGATTTTTTTGCAGCAGCATTATTTTTCCGCCTTCTTTCATAATAGGCGGCATCTTTTATAATTCCATTATTATTTAATAAATTATTTGGATTTTCATTTAGATCTTTATTTTTTATATTAGAACTCTTAATATTGATTTTTTTCGTACTACTGTTATTATGATTACTATTATCTGAATTAATTTCAAAATTAGTTGTACTTTGAACCATTGTATCATTATCACTTGACGAATCATTAGCTCGTTCTTCATTTTCACTATTATTAACTTGACTATCACTGTATGAGCCATCACTACTTATATTTGTACTGTTATTATTATTAAAATTATTTCTTGTATTCAAACGTCTCATTTTAGGATTAGAAATAGTTCTTTCACCACCGTTTGCTGATCTTATTTGTTCTAAAACACGTTTACGATATTCTGTGTAACGTTCAACTCTTGGATTATCATAAAGGACATCAGTTGCTGCAAAATTAGCTGCAATTACAAGTGGATCTCTAGGAAATGCTTTAAATGGTCTTGTTGGTTTATTAATCGAAGTTAAATCATTATTTGAATTTTGTATAACGGCAGGATTTAGTAATTTCGGATATATAATTGAAGTTGATGATGATGGAGAGCCTGGAACACTACTTGTATCAGATAATCTATCAGTATCAGTTAAATCAGATTTTAAACCAGATTTTGGCGAAATATTTGATAACATATTAGAACTTCCTAATTTCTGTTGTGGTGATGGATATGCAGTATTTTTTAATGAAAGGTCATTTTGTGTAAACAAATTATCAATTGGTTGTGGAAAATGTAAAATATTTGTTTGATTTGATACTGAATTTACTTCTTTTGAATTTTGTTGGATTTTCATTAAATTTGTCGAATTTTCCATTATTTCTTGTTTAATTTGCGGATAATAAATTGGATACAATGGTGATAGAGGCTGTTGACATTGATTTGATATTAAAGCACCAGAAATGAGAGCAGGTTTACTTAATAAATGTTGTTGATTATAAAATTTTTGTAAATTTTCAGCTAGAAGTGATGCTGAAATTTCTGGACGTTGAATTGGTGATTCTGATTTTCTATTTACCTCTGTTGTGCTAGGTGGTGATGAAAATTTGCGTTCATTATTTATTGGAGATAATATATGCGTTGTTTGAAAATCATTTCTTCTTGATAAATCTAAAACTCTTTCATCTTCCTGTTGACTTTGCTGATGTTGGTAATGATTTTGTAGTTGTTGCTGCTGTTGGTTTCGTTGATACAATAATTGATTTTGCATTTGTTTATAATGAAATGAATCATATAAATTTATTTTGGCTGATGGAGAGCTCGATGTTGGTGGACTTACACTTTGTTCTGAAATTATATAAATTTCAAAATTAATAAGGTAAATTTGAAACATTTTTTATATTAAAATATTAATAATTTTTTATTTATTTTGTGCTGCACATTTTTAAAATTTATTTATTTTTAATTACCTTTTTGAACATGATGCAAAAAGTTTTCAGTTATTAAATTGTCATGTAACATTTTGTTTTGAAATATTAATTTTTCGATCAATAATTTATTTTTAATTTCAAGTCAATTTGTTTTTAATACACTTTCACAATAATTCTATATTACTATTCAAAACGCGGAATATTAATTTTGAAACACCCTTAACTGAAAGATAGTTTGATTAGTACTGCTGTTAACTTGACCTTTGCAATATTTTTATATATATCCCTCCTCCTACACAAGAACCAGTAATAACGTTAATAATAAACAACTACTATATATGCAACTTCATATACATATATTGCTATATATATGTATGTTCTAATGAATTGCATTTATTCTTTGCAATCTTTTGACTGCGCATCAAAGAGTATCTAATCATGTTCACAATATACCTACATAATACAATTATGATCTATTTATTAGTTGCAACAGTGTTAGTAAATTACTCAGAGTTCGAATGAAATCTATTTATTTATTTATGTATATATATTGTTATAGAGTATGAAAATGAAAAAGAGAAATGAACGCATGCGATACCTAACAAAATAATGTACTAAAAATATTCAACCAAAACAAAGAGGAATATAGATAAAAGGTACACACATATACATACATGTACATGAGAAATTTCAAAAAAAGAGAAATATTACAAAAACAAAATTTTATGTTATCTCTGATCCTCGTTTCAAATTTTTGCAAATTATTATGTAGGTATAGTTTGTGGTGATATTCTCAAATGTCCTTTCAATCCTTCCCATACCTGAATGAGTATAAATTCATACGTAATGTAATAATTTATGGAAAATATTTTTCAAATACATATAAATTAATAAGATTTTATTGTTGTTGTTAGAATATTGATATTTTGAAAGATTTTATTAAGTATTGCCATCTTTTTAATTCACTTCTCTTCTAAAGGTCTTTTGTCGCGTAAGAGTTTTTCGAACATTTGTTTGTTCATTGACTATAATAAAATTTAATTAGTATATAATATTACTTTATTTATACATATTTCAGTTTCAGCATAATAGAAAATTTAAAATAAAAAAATGTAATTACTAAAACCAAAGCAATTTTTTTTAAACGCCTGGAGCATTCGCATGTATGTACATATACTTTTTATGATGTCAGCTATAGTTGAAATTTACCAATGCAATTAACTAACGAAAACACGAATTTTTTTAAAATAAGAGTATTTAATTATAATTAACATATTAAATTTATACTTTTAACCTTTTTTATTTCGAAATATATTTCAAATTATTGAAATATTTAGCAAAGCTTTTTGTATGATTCAAAAATGCGTGTACCTCTCTTATATTTAAATTTGGAAATTATATATGTCATACCTAAAGTGCTTATCTCTAAAATACCTATGCATACAGTTTCAAAAATTGACTTTTGCGCTACTTCGAATGTAAAATTTTACAAATATCTAAGTATATTTATAGTTAAGCTGTAAATATAGGTACTTAATATTCTACGTACGATGCATAATATTCTCTTTATGTAATTTATATTCTATAAAATAGCTGTTCAAATATTGTAAAAAAATATTACGAAGCATGGGTTTTTTAAATTTGTCTAAAAATACATTTATTTTAAAGAAATTTCTTGCGGTAGTTCTAATTTTGTTTAAACTATACAAAACTCTATCTGAATTAATTTAAATTAAATAAATTATTACGTTTTGTTTTAAGTTTTATAAATTTTAACAAGTCAATATTTTCTAAAATAAATTATTTAATTAAATTTATATAGCATTTTAAATACGTATAACATTTAGAAATGATAAGAAGTGATGTAATCTAGAAGAAAAAATTTATTTTACTTAAATTTACTTAAATAAATAAGTGTTTTTTCTGTCGATAATATGCGCATTTTCTCAATAATTGAACTAATTTTTTTGAGTCCTTCTTTTTGTAATACATGTATAACTATGTACATATGTAAGTAAATAAAAGATTAAAATTTTTTAATATAATATAAAATTACAAAATAATGTAAAATTTGGTATTAATTTTTTCTAATATTAGACATTCAGATAAGAAATGTAAATAAATATAGTTTCTAAATTATAATTTGCTTTATGATGGTTTTTATTCAAACAAAATGATATTTATATATATACACATTTACATATTTGTGTGTACATATATTTTATTATATTTACTATCAAATTATTTAAGAAATCTTGTTATCATTATTGCGTATTAATAACTTTTAAAATTTAAGTTAAGTTCTTTAAAATTTATTTATGACTATTGATATTATAATGAATTATGTGATTCTCTTTTGGTTTCAGTAATTGATAAAAAAAATATTCAAGAAAATTACCAATTATAAGAAATCATAAGAACTTAATCTTTCCATGATTTTAATAAAACCTAAGTTTCATAAAGTACAATGGCTTTTATGCATTCAATTTAATTTAAACATTAATGAAGAAAGTGTAATATCAGAATTTTTATACAAATGTGCACGTCTATTGAAGCACATTATAAATATGAGTGCGCGAAGAAAATGTAATAAATAAATAGCACCGCATCATAAACTCCTTCATTTCAAAATAACACCGATGTGGTATTAATAGGCAATTTATTAAAAATTATAACTTATAAGTTAAAATTTTTACTAAATAACAATGTATTAGAGATTTTTTCAAGCCAGAGGAATTCTATGTCACTCATTTTATTTTATATGTGTACTCCTAATAATTTGTTTAGTGATTTCTATATGAATATTCAAGTATATTTAGTGTGCAGCGACTGCTCACAATCCTGAAATTTTTATATAATTTAGCATTATTGCAGAATGCATTGTACATCCTTATCATTATACCGTTATACTTAAATACAATAGTTACTTAGTTATAATATTATGAATATATATATATATACTTTTCTGAGTTACAATGCGTTCAATTATAATATTTTCTATATGAAATTAAAAAAATAAGAGCTTTTGAATAAGGATATTATATTAACAAAACTTTACTGACTAAAAATAAAAGATATTATAATTTATAAATTTCCTATATAAGCAAATTAAAATGTACTGATGTACTAAATTCTGAATTTAAGGCAAAAAGTTAGAAAATGGACTACCCCATCATATAGTTTACTCAAGAAATACTGTAGCCATAAGTAATTTAGCACATCATGTCATCAAATATGAGAATTTAATATTTTCAAATGCATAATACCTTGATTCATATACTTAGTATAATAAGGAAATTTAATTAATAACTTTGGCAAAGTAATCTTCTTTGTAATCATATAAACTAATATTAGGCCAAAAAGGTTACTACGTATTTGAATATACAGTATGTATATATATGTACACACATATATATATATATGTACACACACATATATATATATATATATATATATATATATATATATATATATATATATATATATATATATATATATATATATATATATATATATATATATATTTATATATATATGTATATATATATGTATATATATATATATATAATGGGTTTTTGAGTTTTAATGTTCATTCATAAAAGCCGCAAAATATATTCCAATACGGATATTCAAATATTATGTACACTTGACTTATAAATTCTCTAAAAAAAAGTAAAGTAAGTATAAGGCACTTTTTATAATTTTACTATGATTTTCTTGTTTTTCATTTTCATTCATATATCATTTTTTATGCTTCAATAAAAGAACGTTATAAAATGGAAGAAAAAATTGGTCTCGTTTTTTGCAATATTTACTAATTTCTGTTATAATCATTTCTATTATACTCACAGGTTTTTTATGAATGAATTTAAAAAAGGAAAAAAATGCAAAAACAAATAAAAAGGAATCAGGATCCTTCGTATATATGTGTATGTGTAAATGTTTATAAAAATCGGAAATAACTTTTTTAATACCATTTTTTTTACCGAAGATTTTTTGAACCATAAATAAAATTAATTTGTTCACAATTCTTTTCTTTTCTATTATACTTATTAGTCAAAATATTCATTCAATATTATTGAAAAGTTGTGCCCAATGTTCTTCAAAATTAATCTTTAGTTAGTGTATATAGGATTGATGGTATAAGATTACAAAAAAAAAAAAATTGCAGTATTAAAAAATCACTGGTTGATCATCAAAAGCATTTGAATATAGAGTAAAAGGTTAATGCCAGTATAAAAATAAGAGATAAGATAGCCAAAAGAGATCATCCCAATTTTTATTCTATTTTTCGAATTTTTTCCGTTTTCTTGTTATAAAAAAGGCAATGAATGAAACAGAAGTACAAAATAGAAATTTTAAATTAGTTACAAATATTTGGCCATAACACTATAGGATATGGTTGGAATAAGATAAAGAACTGAAAAATTATTAATGAATTTTCTATTTAATACTAAAATTGGGGTTTTAATTGAACGCAAAGAGAGTTAAAAAGAAGAATAAATAAAACAATATGAAAACATTTACAGTAACTCCAATTGAGGTGAGAGGTTTAGGTGAGTTTCTATTTAAGTGGATAGAAAATTATTTTAATAGTATACTCGTAACTATATATATTTGTCCTACTTTAATATAAGAATGTAAACTATGTAAATATACTTTAAGTATTTTGGCCTGCAATTTTAGATGTTTATAATAATATGTGTGAAGTGACATATGTGTGAAATTTTTAAAAATGATGGTATTTTACTATTTAAGAAATTGATACTAATTTAACTACCTAGATTATTATTTATGGTGTCGAAGCAGGTATTATATAAGGTACATTTATACCAAGAGCTATAGAAAATGTATATGTATACTATTTATGTCGCTCTTTAAATAACGATTTGCGACACATGCTTTTAAATGCTGTAATATTTTTAAATTATGATGCCACATTTATTTTTTAATATTTTGTTTATATTTCTTTAGAAATTTTTAATTTTCTTCTAAGAATTGAACTCTTTAAAATACGTTTCTATATTATAGGAAAACTCCAAAATTCGTACAGTTTGATTTTGTAAAGATTATACAATAATGTTACACTCT